AGAAGAAGAGGATTCATACCTTTCCCAAGTGTATTAGCATGTAAGTGAATGTAACAGATTCAACTGGAATTCAAACTCAGCTCTCCAATTCCTCAATAAGATTTCTAATTTTCTCAAAATCCCCTTGTGTATAGATTAAATAAGTCTGGTGAGAAGACACATCCTTGTCTTACTACCCTTTCTATTTTTGTATATTTACTGAATTCATTTTCTGTCCTTATTCAGGCAGTTTGCTGCCAGTATTGGTTCTGGATTATTTTAATATCCTTCCCAAATATGTCAAGGTTATTAAGCAGTTCTAACAATTCTTTGTGACTTAAATTATCAGACGCTTTTGCATAATCTATAAAACACAGGTGCACATCCTTCAGCATTTGTATTACTCTTTCTGATAAAATTTTGAGCATAAATATTGCTTTCTTCATTCCAGTGTCTTTAACAAAACCACACTGTTCTTGCGTTATTTCTGGTCTGATTCTGCTGTACACTCTATTCATCAGAAGTTGTATAAGTTTTGTTATACGGCTCATTAGACTGATTATCTGATGGAGTTCACATTCATTTGAACTTGGTTTCTTAGGCAGACTTGTGCAAAATATTGTTAGCACAGCTTTTAGTCAAACTAGTAGTGCTTGCAACAATTTTGGTGATGACACAATCTGAACACATACATACTGCAACACCACTGTTGTTGAGTAGTACTAGATGCATGTGATCAGTGAAAGCAATGTATGATGAACTTATGGTGGTTAGGAGGTTATCAGTTATAGATGAGTTATCTTATGACAATGTCTATTCCCACCATATATCAGAATAATTGATTTGGGTGTATATTGGACTTAAGTAATGATTAAAAGAAAATGCACAGTGTTGATAAATACAAAATTAATCTTTATATACACAATATAATGATAATACAGTAGGATAAGGTATAGGTTAAATTTTCAAGAGTTCAATTGTTAAATTCCTGGGGCATGAAAGAAAGAAACAAAACATTAAGAAGGGAGTAGATATTTATGTATCCAAATGTAGTAGCTATCTACTTGACAATGCGGGTGAAGGAAGGTATGCCCATTTTCAAATGTATCAGGAGGCTGCTTAAAAAGGTGACAAAAGAAACTGTTTATGTTCTTAAATATAGCAGTTCAGCAAATGCTGGACAATTTCCTCAAAGATGAAGAAGAGACTCAGGGTGGTTCTACAGAAGGATGCTGAGGATTTTGTGGGCCAAGTGTGTGAGCAACAATGAGGTCTTAGAGAGGATGCAGACAAGGAGGAGGCTCATGCTTAACATCAGGAAGAGGCAGCTGAAGTTTCTGGGATACACAATGAAGAAGGCAAGCCTTCAGAACCTGATACTCACAGGTTGAATAGTGGGAAAAAGAGACAAAGGAAAGCAGTGCATGACATTCCTGGTGGGCTTGAGCAGGTGGATGACAATGTGGTCTAGGGGAGATAGCAGAGGAAAGGAACTTGTTGAGAGATGCAATAGATGGAGGTGGAGAGCTACAATCGCCTACGTCCTAAAAAGACATGGCACATAAAAAGAAAAGAAAGAAGTTTTGTTTATCCATTTAAAGTTGCCACTTAGTCTTACAAATATTATATTTTGTCTTTGGTTATATACACATCTACAGATCCACTTTGAAAAAGCTTTTCTGCTTCTCATTAGCTTGTGGCCTTATATCCTGGTTGTGAAAGCTTTCTAATTGGTTGGTCAAAATATGCCTTTGTGGCCTGATGATTCTGATCATCCATCTATTTTTAGAGATGATGAAATGTTGGTCTTCCTCCTTCTTATTTATTTTTATTTATTTATTTCTCTATCACTACATGTTAACCTAAAGGAGAAGTATAAAGAATCTTATATAATCACTAGTGATGAACACTGGCATGCCTTTAGATTTATCTGTGAATAGAAACTCTGATAGACTCAAATCAAAGTTCAAATTAATGTTCTTCTACAGTACTTTGACTGGACAAAAAATGTTCATGATATTTTGTCATTAACTTTTTTATGTCCATGACTAGTTGTTTCAACTCACTGCATGACAACATACTTGCTCAGAAATATCTAAACTGTCAGTTGTATACACTTGCTTTCTCAAATCAATGGTTAAAATTGGCCTCAAGTAAATGATGCATGTTGGTCTTAGAGAGGGACACACTTCTTTGAACCTCTTGGACTAGCACTACAGAATCCCAAATACCTATACCAAATAACAGAAACCACATCACTTGAGGACTTTCAACAGCAGCAAAAATCTAAAATGTATCGCACATGTAACTTAAAGAGAAAATAATGATCTAATCAAGATGCTGACATTCCACAATACTGTCAAAAAAAGTTTAGAAAGGAAGTCCCCATCAGTACTGGAAAGAATGATAACATTTACTGGATTTGAAAAATCTATTTTCCAATATTTATATGATCTTTTTATTAACACATAATAAAAAGATTTTGTAAATTTCAACCAAAAGTAGAACTGGCTGCTTAGTCAATGAATGTAAACTGTTTCCTTATAAAGAAATGGCTAATTATACCATTAGAGGTTAGGAGAACAGATACTACATTTTGATCTAGGGAGTAAAGAAAATTCTTTTGAGGAGCACTGAGTGTCCATATCAAATGTTTCCTTATAAGGAAACAGCTAATATTACCATTATCTCACATAAATATTAATTTCATCATTTGACTTTTTAAATTCCAAAACTGAAGCTGTCTTTTCCTCTTAGTAACAGAAATTTTGAAAATCATATCTTCAATTATACATCCAAATATGTGTACAACATACATTTTATATGTTAGAAATCTTAAGCCTATGTTAGAAATCCTCTAAACTCATGTTCAAGTAATCAGAAGCTTCTTTGGGTACCTCGTCTACTTGATACAAATATATTCACAGGAAATAAGTGATATTTAGAGAGGACAATTCATTACAACCATCTCCCTGTATCTAACAACTGGTGACTGAAAGAACTAAATAATGTATATATGACATTAATTTGGATTATGCATTTGCAAAATAACACTTTAATCTCTGAGCAAAAATAAAAAATATTCACATATTTTTCTATTCACTTTTTATGGTGTTGCTAATTTTAAGTAATTTATGGAAATAAATCTAACCTCCCTTTTCTATTTTATTTCCATACCATTCATTATGGACCACTGGGAGGTTTCAACAACTCCTCTTAAATAAAGGTCTTATGCTCATCTATATAAAACTGCTAGATTATTGAATAAAGGCTTCTCATTATTACTATGATGTCTGCTCCTGCTACGTCAGTTTGGCTGAATGCAAGAGTCTATTCATGGTCAGCAGCTGAGTGACAACATGAGTGCTCAATTTGGTGAGTCAAACTGAAGTTATTTGTCATATGAAAATGAATAGACAAACCAAGAAATTGATGTTTCTCTCTAATATACTCTCAAATCTCCCGTCGAATTCGACATATGAGGGCCAAGCAGATCAGTTCCTAGGAACCGACAGCCCAACACCAGCACATGAGATTTGATTTTAGGGGTGAAGGTTTTGTGCAGGACTATCCACACTTTTTGAAGAGCTGAATACAGAGACGGTGGAGTACTGGATAGCGGCTTGGATTGAGGAATCAGAGAACCAAGTTTGAATTTCAGTCAAATCCATTACATTCACTTATGTGCTAATACCCATGGGAAAGGTATGAATCTGTAATATATATATATATATAAGTTGGGATGAAATATTGATTAAATATATTGGAATCCAACAGAATGGTACGATAATGAAAAAATAGTAAACATTTATAGATCTAACATGTTTCACTTTTATTAAAGCTTCTTCAGAGAATGAAATATGGAGTAGGAAAAGAAAAAAAGGAAAATTCTGTTATTTTTAATAGTTGTGTTGTTTGTATTTCATTGGTTAAGCAGATCGCATGTGTATCTGTCTTGTCAAGCAGCATTATATGTTTAATTCTTGTGTATATGTGTATCATCATTTTAGGGGACTCAGATGATAATTGAGTGCATGCATCTATTAGGCATTTTTTAAAGAATATTCTGGTATTTGTAATATGTGTGTATGTTTATGTGCATTGAGTAGTCATTTTTATCCATATTTGGTAGTTGTCCGCATATTGATTTGGGGATGTTTTGTCGGAGGGGAAAATATTTTAAACTTACAGTGGTTGTTGTAGTAGGTAGATATCCTAAATTTTTTAAGTATGAATTTTATAATAAAGTGTGTTTGACGTGTGTTTATAGATGGTAAAATATTTATCAGAAATTTCTTGAAGTATTTCCTGCATAAAGAATTATCTTCTTTTCTAATTAGGCTGGCATTTATAGAATCAAATTTATGGCTTGTTTTATTTCTTAGTATTATGAGTGAGTTTAATCAATTGACTAAACAACAGATTTTTTTTGAGAGGATTCTTAGTTGAGCTGACAACTTTTCAGTACCTCTGCTGAAATAATGTCATCATTTTGGACAGATACTATGCTACACTATATGAAACTGCTATACATAGTTGAATAAAGGCTACTCTAACTCATACAATGTCACTTCCTGCCACTTCTCTTTGGCTGAAGAGTAAGTATAAATGTTTGGCTGTTGAGTAACATCCAAAGTGCTCAATTTGGTGAGTCAAATTGAAGTCTTTGTGAGTGATAGTAAAAAAAAAAAAAAGGATTTATGGTTCAAGCAAATAATTTTTTTTTGTTAAAATATCTATTGGAAACATTCACTGTTTTTTTTTTATGATTTATCACATTTTGCAGGTTATTTAATGCCAAAAAATATTTTTTTAGATTGTAAGAATTTTTAGAGATAATAATGATTTACTAATACAAGTCCTACTAATTGACATATATCTTGGGTAGAAGCGGTAGATTCATATTCTTCCCGAGAGTATTTTGTGTGTAAGTGAATATAACAAACCCAACAGGAATTGGAACTCAGCTCTCTGATTTCCAATTCTGAGCTATTATCCATTCCACCACCTACACATCCAAGCTTACAGCATCTGATATTCTCAAGTGGTCACTCATCTAGGTACTAACCAGGGTTGATCTTGCTTAACTTAGGTGATCGTATGAGAACCAGCATTTCAACATGATATGGTCATAAGTACTTTATTGGGCACAAATACATACACAGGAAACAAGCAATGTCCAGACTATTTTGAGAACATTTCATTACAACCTTCTCAACATCATAATATACTATCAAGATTTGTCATTTAAAATAGATTCACATGCAATGAAAAGAAATCACAAAATGCTGTAATTTCATACGAAAACACTTGGTAATGCTTGAATTCTCCATTGTGATGTTGGCTAATACAGTATATGGGCAGCTGGAGTAAATGGTAAAAGCCGCTTGGAGAAATACATTAAAGAGTAATAAGAGCTGATGGGAAAGAAAAGAAAAACCAAAGAGAAAGAAAAGGAAACTATATGGTCTTTGAGGATTTAAATACTCTCATCCTGATCGACGTTTGCCGCCCATAATCTCTTCTTGAAAGAAAGATGTGGAGGAGAGGATTCACAACTGCCTTCCGATGCTTTGGTTGAAAACCGAAATAAGTCAGCGCCTTGCCACTGACAGCAAGGATGCTGTCAGAAATGCATCAGGTTTTCTGTCCATAGATTAACAACAAATAATCCATCCAATGAAAGATAAAGATGCAGGCAGGGAGAAAGATAGGTGGGTAGATATATAACTGGATGAAGATGAGGCTGGTCTGATTGACACAATTTAAAGCTGAAATATATACTTTGCTAATGGTCAGTGATTGTTCCAGATGGCTCAAAATCTTTTCTATTTTTTTATTTTAAATATTGGCATTGATTTGACAAGATGCTGTACATGGTGTATAAAACCCAGGAAGCACTTCTCTCTCACAACTGTTCATTCATATTTATGTTGTCATGAATATTTCTTTTAATAATGGTGTCATGGAATTTTGTTTGGGTGTGTTAACATAATACTCTAGTTATGTCCCTTTAACCTCCACTTCCTAGAGAAGGAGACAAAAAGGCACACTGTCATGGCATATGTCAAATAAAGAACATGTGTGGCACAAGCCTCTGATTTAAATATCTATTCTGTGTCTGTCATTATTTCCATTGATATAATGCATTCCTGAAAACAACTATACATGGTGTCAGAAGTGGGATTTCAAAAAGTGGAGTGACTACGGAAGCAATTTTATTCAATGATGAACAAATTTAACAAACAAACAGGGACCTGGCGCAGCCAACGAATGCACATGGTAATGTAGAAATTTCCTACATGTATACCCTCGCCCAACATATTAACATCTGAACCACCTCATCACCCATTATTTAAGCTCATTCACTTCAGTATCACAATTTACTGTATATTTTACCTATGTTTCTTTTTTTGTTCTCTACACTCACTTAAAATGTTCAACACAAAGCAGAACACAACCCACATTGAAAATCCAGATGAACCCCCAACAGGACAACAAACCAAAGTTGTCCCAATGACTTTCATGTTGTAAATGCAGCAACAGCAACTCACCATGCAGGAACAGATGACATGCCTATTGGCACGTCTCCTGCCCGTCGAAAAAAATAATACACCCACTCCGTTGCACCACCAGCACATAAAGCCCGAGCACCCAGTGACAGAATCTGATATGTTGGACAATAAATGGATCATCTTTAGAGATGCATGGTTCTGTTACAAAGAAATGAGCCAGCTCACCAACCCAACAGAGACCCGAAATGAGCTATGATCTGCATGCAGTTCATCTGTCAATGAAATGCTCTTCAATGATTTTGGTTCCAATGCCCTTAATAATGCCACAGAGGAACAACTGCTGGAATATCTTAAATCTGTTGCCATGAAATCCATCCACCCAGGAGTATATCATCAGCAATTTTTTGCAATGAAGCAGAATGATGGAGAAACCATCATGTCGTTTGTCTCAGATTGAAGTCATAAGCGATGATCTGTGCCTTCAAAAGACAATGTGGTTGTGATAACCAGCACTAACCTCATTCTCTGAGGATATGATTAAATCCCAAATCATTGCCGGCCTATGGGAGACCTCTTACGAGAGTAAGATTTTAACAAAAATCAACTCTTTGCCAACACTGAATGACCTGGTCAGATGACTGTTAACCCTGGAATCCACCACCAGATCAACAAACCATTTTCAACCAACAGAGACACCACAAATCACTCCAATCAAATCTGCATCATCACAAAAATTCCCACCACACAACAAAAACAAAAGAAATAATGACAAATGTAAAGGTTGCGGTTACAAAACACACCCAAAAGGCTGCAGGCAATGCCTTGCTTGGGGTAAATCATGCCACAAGTTTGGAACCATAAACCACATCTCATATGTATGCTGTGGCATAGCCTCATCTAAGGCTGTCATGGAGGATAACCCTAACAACACCCGAGATGAAAATATCTCCCTCATATCAACCATGTGTACACAGCCTAGATGACTAAATAAAGGAGAAGGAATCCCACATGGTACCTGGACCAACAAGCAATTCACCCCAGAAAGACCAGAACCACCATCGTTTATTAGCGTTAAAATCGCATTAAACATGATTGCACTCAAGAATTAGGAAATCCAATTCAAACAGACATAAAGCCTCAAATCATTCAGTAAACTGCTACAGTGGATACAGGGGCTCAAACAAATACAGCCAGGAAGGATCTGTTGAAGAAACTCGGATGCAATAATAACCAGTTATTGCATACTAGACACCGTTTACGTGCTGTAAATGACAATAACCTACATATCAAAGGAGTCTTAATCACTGCAATATCACTTGGTGATGAAACATGCTCAGAGATAATCTACATTTGTTCAAGAGTTAAGGGTTTATACCTATCACAGACGACCTTAAAATGGTTGATGGTCATCAACAACAACTTTCCAGTGCAACTCAGTACTAAAATAGCCACCACAAAAGAAGACAAAAAAGAACAACTGATAGCACACTAGCCCCATGCAGATGTCTGCACCGAACACCTTGCCTGCCACTACCAGACAAATTACCATTTCCCGCTACACCTGAATATCGCAAGGAGCTAGAGAACTGGATAAAGTGTCACATGCACACACCAGAAGTTGCAGACCATGACAGGAGAACAACTCACCATCTCATTTCTAGAGAACTACCGACTGACAGCCATACATAACCCAATTCCAGTACCCCCACAACTGGAAAGAAGCTGTCAAGTCACAGCTGGATACCAATGTTGCTCTAAATATCATAGAACCAGCCCCCCCTGCTGGAACACCAACAACATAGTGCTCCAGAATGATAACAGTTCCCAAAAAAGATGGCAGCCCATGTAGAAAGGTAGATCTGCAGGACTTGAATGCAGCTACAAGATGGGAGACACACCACACAACCTCTCCATTTAACCTTGTCAGCACGATACCCCCAGGGAAGAAGAAAACCATTCTCGATGCCTGGAAAGATACCACAGTGTGCCCCTCTCTGCAAAAGCATGTGATGCCACCACATTCATCACAGAATAGGGCAGATACCGATACTTGCAAGCTCCTTAAGGCTTCCAAGCATCTAACGATGGCTACATGAAGCAATTTGATGACATTACAGAGGGTTTCCCCCATGTAGCCTGCTGTGTAGATGACTCCATTTTATGGGATGATATTGTAGCACTACCATTTTGGCACACTATTAAATACATCATGCTTTGTGCTGACAACGGGATTGTCTTCAATCCGGAGAAATTTCATTTTGCAAAAGACAATGTGGAATTCACCGGTTTTGACATCAGCCCAACAGGATATAAACCATCACAGAAATTATTTGAGGGCAGCAGAGACTTCCCATCCATGACAAACATAACAGGGGTTAGATCTTTTTTTGGCCTAATTAACCAGGTACCCATCATGTCACCTTTCAGGGAACTGCTTAAACATAATGGCAGATTTTACTGGGACGACACCTTAGAACAACTTTTTCAGTGATCCAAAGATGAAATCCTAAATAGCATCCAGGATGGCATCTGAACATTTGAGATAAATCATCCAACATGCCTGATCATGGATTGGAGTTAAACAGGAATAGGATTTACCCTACTACAAAATATTGCAAGTGCCTATCCACAGCAAACCACCTTTGTGGATCAGGGCATTGAATGATTGTATATGCAGGTTCTTGATTCACTAAACCTGCTGAAAGCCATTATGCACCCATCGAAGGAGAAGCATTAGCCATGAAGTTTGTCTTGGAAAGCTGCAGAATGTTTGTCTTGGGATGCCCCCATCTGATACTCACTATTGATCACAAACCCCTCATGCCAATATTTAATGATTGCAGCAGCTGAGTCAGAAGGTCTGGAAGAGGCAGTGCAAGCTGGAATAGAATCCCAGTACAACCAAGAATCATCCCCCCATCAAAATGGCACTAATACAACGAGAGGCAAAGGTGGATTACCAGTACCTGAGCCTTGTGGAAACAATTGAAAAGTGCTTCCCTGAACATAAGGAACATCTACCCCCACCCACATCAGGGAATTCTGACTCTCGGGTTCTTAATTTCATTTAAGCTGCGATCATTAAATATGATCTGGAATATGCAGAATGATTTGTACACAGTTTGATCACTAGTATTCATGGAAGGACCAGCTTCATATTGGCCACCAAGGAGTCAATAGCATGAGAAGCAATACCAGGCAATGTTTCTTCTGGCATGGTATGGGAGCACAATTGCAAGAAAAATGAAATCAATGAAAACGTTGCAATGAAATTGCTCCATCAAACCCTAATGAATCTGCATTCAAGCCTATTCAACCAGGTTACCCTTTCCAATCAACAGTCACAGACATTTTCAACATGGCTGGATGTAAATATATGCTACATGCTGACAGGTACTCAGGTTGGATGGAAGTAGCTCCGATGCACCAAGATGTGAAAGCCTCCACAATATGCAACATCTTACACAGATACTTTGTAAATTATGGTGTACCAGAGGAAATCGTTTGTGATGGTGGACCCCCATACAACTCAGATGAATTGAAGAGATTTTTAAGAACATGGGGCATATCCCAACCAGTGTTCTCAGCTTATTATCCACAAAGCAATGGCAGAGCTGAG